TTCTAGTGCAAATATCTTAGTACACTTGAAATAAGACAAAACTGATTTACAACTAACTTTTCAGCAAGGTATTGGAGCTTGTTTTAAGTAAATTGTTCCTTGATATTAATGGAATAGTACTAGTTCCACTGGCAGATTATTTCACTCTTGTTATAAGTAAATTGCCTTCCAGTGTACTTTTTAATACTTTTCTTAATCAATATTATGGAATAACTGACGTAAAACAACTTGCTGAAAGGTTACTAAGTATTGTTTTGTCTTATATCATATGCACCAAGATATTTGCACTAGAAACCGAACCAAAAAATACTCAAGAGTGTTTTTCAAGAGCGTGAAACAATCTGCAGCATATTTTTTTCCACTTATGTGGTGGTCTTTAAAAAAAAAAATGGAATCAAAATCAAAGAAATCCTGATCGGTACATGCCAAATAAAACTGACTGTAATGTTTATATCAGTGAATCTTTTTGTATAACCAAACTAAACAGTCATGCTTTCGTACCTGCAAGCCGAGCTTCGATATTCTGCAAGCCCTCCTTCAGCTGCTGGTTGTTGGGCTCTTTGCGGAGCCCCTCCTGGTACGTCATTCTGGCCTCCTCTAGTCGGCCGAGAAACTCCAGAGCGGCGGCTTTGCGGGAGTATCCCTGCAGGAAAAGTTGGAAGGTTATGTTATGTTAATTATGTTTTTGATTTATTTTTTTCCCCTTCTGATTCCTCAAATTGCAGCAAGACACGAGAACTCTCACCTTGCCCCAGTCGGGCTTGATCTTGATGGTCTGGACGGCGTCCTGGAGAGCATTCTCGTAGTTGCCCTTTTTGGCGTAGGCAGCAGAGCGGTTGCTGAACAGCACATGGTTTGATGGATCCAGAGCCAAGGCCTCGGAGTAGCAACGGACAGCTTCGTCGATGTTTCCTGCACTCAGCGCCTTGTTGCCCTGGTCTTTCAATGCTGACACCTAGAATTCACACATTTGCTAAATGTTAGCACATACAGAAAGCCCAGCAGAAGCCGAATGCAACCTTTGACAGCTGCTGCCGACAGATCTGAAAAAAGAACAGCTGTTTGTGCTGAGCTGCTGATACAGGAATGCATTCACTGTGCTTAATACACATTCAACAGAAGTAGAATAATAATAGTAACAATGAAGGAGATTGCAATAAAACTTTAATGTAATTTGGAGGGAATATAAATAGCTTAAAAACTGCATGTAGACGTCTTTAAACAGAGCTGGCATACATTATAAATATTTGATGGATTCGTTTTGATGTTTAACCATCAGCTTCTCCTGTCTTAACAGTAATAACACTAAAGAACATGAGAAAGTGATAAAATAGTATTGATCCACACTACTTCGACCACAGCAGTCCAGCTCCAGACCCTCTGAGGACTGATTTTGATCAATATTACCTTAAACTCACTAAATGGAACCCAGCATCTAAAATCTTCAAAATAATTCATTAACATCACTACTAAAAATGGGTGTGGCATTTTTTTTTTTTTTTTTTTTTTTTTTTAGTTCAATGTCCCAAAGGTCTTTTGGTGTGAAATGTACGAATCGACCTCAGAACAAAAGCAAATGACTGTGTGAAGACGTTAACCGAAGCTAGCAAGAGACGATGAAACAAGTCCTGTGGGCTGAAAGGCCACTTAGCCATGAAGAAGCTATTATTACAAGAGTGACATTAAGAGATTACAATTTGCAAATGCACTAAAGGACAAATGCCTTAGTGTTGGGAGACATGCTCTGCTGTCTGATGATAATAACATTTAAGTGTTTGGCCGTAATGTCCTTTGTTAGATTGGACAGGAAACAGGGAAAGCTATGCGCAGTAGCATCATGTTGTGATGTAGGAGGAACAGGTGCACTTCACAGACAGATTGTATCAAGAAGAAAGAATTTGTAAATATTGGGACATTTAAAATTGTTCGTGTCTTTCAACGTTGTCTCTAACCAAACTTGTTTTATTTAAAAAAAAAAAAAACAGTTGCAACTGGCTAGATCTAGCGTTCAGGCAAAGAAACAACTTGGGTTTTTACTAAAGCATTATAATGCCCTTCTCATACAAGCATCATTAAATATATTGGTGATTTAGAAAGCTTGAATGCCTGGGACTTATAATTAGAAGTCCACATACCGCAATCCAAGCAGTTCTTGCACACATAATACTGTGATCACATTAAATTTGCAATATATTGTGAAAAACAAGAGGATAAAGAGCTGATCCCAGCCTCAGAAAATTTGTGTGCCGAGTTGAAAATACTTGTGAAAGCAAGGCACCCTACGAATGTCAGATGTTAAAGTAGAAATGGACAAAGACTACAGCAAATTACTCTGAGAAATCTGTGGGATAGTATCCAAAATGTTGCCCTAACTCATCTAAAACAAATAAGAACAAACTGATTAAAGAAAAATTTTGTCTGAATTATTGTGAGAAAAAAAGAAAAGGTATTTTATAAAATGTTTATAAAGCTCAACTGTACATCGTCTCGTTTAAAGCCATTTCAAGTCAATGCAAAGTATCCATTAAAAATAATAAACTTTAACTCTGAAGAAGAAAACTAAAGCCAAAATTTCACATTTAAAATGCTTTATCCATACATGTCCTTGGCAATATTTGAGCAGTATTTTAAATGTTCCTTTCAAATATTATGAGATAGAAATTGTGACATTGTAACCCAGTATTACTAGGAGTAATATTGAGAGCAACAAGCAGCATACACAGCAAATTAAATATATCCTTGTGGCTGCTAGGCTAGGTAAATATTATTTTCTATAACCAGTTAATATAAAACTTCATATTCTGGAGAGTATGCGCACACTCATATCAGTGCAGTGCGACTGTCTCAAACTATGTGTACACTATGTTCCGTTATATACATCGAATTGTAATTACAGAGCAACTCAGTATTTTACTAACTACAGAGACCGTTCAAAACATAAACCATCATCTGAAAACCTTTCGATTGAAAACTGGAAAGTTCGAGAGGTCACGACAGTCTGTGTCGGCGTGCGGCTGTAGCCATGACAGTGGCGCCGTGTGCATCTAGAATGATCCTCCGGTCTGAGTGTGAGCTCGTGCTGAAGCAAGCCCCAAAAAAACACTGACGCACGTGCCGCAAGAGAAAAGTTTAAACAGACAGTGCCACTCTGACTCAATAAACAAATTAATGAAATAAGTCCAATAAAATCCATATCCTTCAATGAACTAATGTCCTCGCGGTGTGAGCTTCATTAGCTGTCGCGCAAAGGTTAGCTAACTCTAGCTTCACTGAGACGTTTTACCGTCAAGGATATTGAAGTATTTGAAGCACTACATTGAAACGATAAAGCAATAGCCCTGAAACCAGAAGCAGTTTTACTGGGACATCCTGCTATACTGCGAACTAATATAACGAGCTAGCGCAACGTTTAGCCAAGACTGATTTATCTCTACGGGGTTAGCTGCAAACAGAATGCTGATCAGTTTTTGGTTAACTGATCAGCCTTCTGTTTGTATTTACCAATTGTAAATACATGGTGTAATTTCACTGTTAACAGTTTCCAACATTTTTCGCATTTCCTAACGGCTTAGAATACCCCACTCTCTAAGCTAAATGGCTGCAGTGAATGACGCTAAGCTAACAAGCTAAGAAGCACAGAAATCTCTCAACGCTAAAGCTAACTGACGACGCTAATCTACAATATTTTGTTGGTAAATATTACGAATTCAGCTTAAACGAGATAGGCTGAAAGACTTGGTTTAAACACCGAAGCTAACAATAGACAATGAAATAAGTTAAGGGACACTTACTGTCTCCATGGTGCACGCATGCGATTCTTTCCAGAAACTACTTCGGACCAGCGCCTCCCCCTGAACAATGTGTGCAAGTTGCCAGTTTGGGATGTTGAAAATCTGCATTCAGTGCGTGGGGCAGAGCCGCAGCACCAATATATACACTACTATCTGAAACTTCCAGAAGAAAGGGGGGGAACTATACCTAAAGCTGTCCTGCTCAAGATATGTCCCCCCCAGATTCTTAATGTTGTGTAATTCATTACATGTCATAATATATTTGCTTGTCATAATATGAATATCGCAAAAATATTAATATTATTGCAGATCAACAAATCTTCGTAGAAATTTACACACTAAAAAAATAAACTTAAACCTGTGATTTTGTGTATCAAATAGTCGTCTAATAATGTGATGAAATAAACTAGTACACATTAATAAAATAATAACCGATGCGTTTTTTTTTTTACAATTGGAATAAGATTGTACTTTTTAAATAAAGGTAAAAAAAAAATAAGTTGTTGTTTTACGTGGCTAACGCCATCGCCGATAAGGTTATCACGTTTAAGAACCTTTAAAGAAATTATGCCATGTTTCTACACAAAATGTTTTAAAGAAAACATAACAAAATAAGCTGATTCATTCCAATTCAATTCAGAAATACTTTTCTTTATCCTAAAGTGAAATTAAATGTTTATCTTATTCTAGTACCTTAAAAGTCGTTTTGGATGGTGATACATTCCCCTATGCTCCAAACAGTGGAGAAAACTCTGGTCACTTGAACTTTCGATGGTATCTCAGGAAAGAAATTTCAGATCATAGAACATAATAAAACTTTATTGCCGTTTTGAATACATAATCTTTTCAAATCTGTGGGCCCATACTGGCTTGTGGCATCCAGAATTCTCAAAAACTATGTACTGTATCAATCTCTCAACTAATCTCACTTGTGTAAGTATTTATGGAAAGCTTTGTCCTAAAATTACATTTTGTTCATCAAAACAGTAAAAAATAATACTAGTTTGTTTGAAAAGATCTCATAAAAAAACATAATTTACAATGAGTAAATACCATAGCATCAAAACATTTTATAATGTCATTTGAACCAATAGTTTCCCTGGTGGAGGCCACATGTAATAGATATGAAAGGTAACAATGTGCAAAAATATGATTCTGAAATAGCCAGGATCGTAATTAGCTGTATTACGAAGCCCCGAATTTACTTGCGGACCGTGAACGCATCATTATTGGTGGCGCGTGAACCTGTGGAGCAAGGTACTGAACTGAAATATAAACTGCGTCATTATCTCCTCGGCTACCTTGCAAACTTTAGGTAAGAAGAGCAAGTTATATGTACACTAATTACTTAAAACAATAACGAATAATAAAAGTAAACTGTTGCTACATTTCACACCTGTTTCTAAGTTAAACAATCTTGCCAATGCAATTTGCTAGCATAAGGTATAGCTCACGGTAATAATGTTACACTAAATCTTTGCTGAACTTGTATAACGATTAAAAACGGCTTGAAACGTGGTAACTGAGTACTTTTCGCATTGTGTTTGTATCAGTAATGTCCAACACACACTAGAGCTATCTTTAAAAAAATATATATATATTTTCTGTTTATTCCTTCTTCGTTCTGCTAATACTGTCAGCATCTGCTAGCGGAAAGAACAGCGGGATTTAGTGGCCAAACATGAGGAGACAGGAACAGCAGCTGGAGAGACCAGCAACGGGTTTGTTAAAAATATTTCATTTAAAAAAAAAATGAAAAAAAAAAAAAAAAAAAAAAGGTATTGTTCCAGGATAGTTTGTATGCAACATCTTTTTTTTTAAGTAGCGTAGTTTGTACCGGATATGAAAAGATGTCATTTCACAAATGTACTTTCATGTATTGTGGAGGTTTGCTTTCTTATTCTGAAAAAAAAAAAAAAAAAAATAGGGCAACTACATCCACCCCCATCCAATTGTCTTGGTAAACATTGGTAAAAAGTGTTTCCTTTGCTTTTTCTGTTAGGCTACCTGCCTTTGTCACTCTTTAACCAGAGGAAGAGAAATAGAATTCCTCTGAAATCTGTTCCTGGTGAAAATGAGTTCTTTTCACCAAGTGAATACATGGCCAGCACCAGTTCAGCTGCTGGTGTAGGCCCCTCAGGTAATCACGCTTCTGTCACTAGGTGGCGGCACATTCACAGAAAATATTAACAATACCAGACTACCTTTGAGACGTTTTCAATCTCTTGGGATGTATTGTGTGTCTTTTCAGCTACGTATGAATGTTACCAGGCCTCAGATTCTTCTCCAAGTGCTCCTCAAAGCCATCAGTGGAACAGAAAAGGTGTCCCGGAGTATGCTAAACCCCAGCAGTATGGCAACAGAGCTGCTCCTGGACCATCTACAATGAGAACCTACGCACCCATAGCACATCCATACAAAGCCGGGGCCAAGAGGTGCTTTTCAGTGACTCTCTGACCATCAGAATGTCTTGTGAAAACTTTTATGACACAGCAACAATCAAAGTAAAGCGGTATGCTAATGCTATATTCAGAATTTATTAGCTGCATTGCTTTCATAGGAAGAGAATCTCAAAAACTCATGTGGTTGTGAACAGTTCAAGTGTTTGAAAAAAAGTGGGATCGTTTACAGAATGTTCAATGCAATAACTTATGACAAGCAAATGAAGGCAACCCATTTCATTCAAAAATAAGGAAACTTGCTTTTTTTTTTTTTTTTTTTTTTTTTTTTTTACGTTTAATTAAATTACTAAAATATCATTATTGTGTTGCTTCAGCTCCATGACGGGTCAGTCCAGCAATCCAGCCGGACAGTGGGTTTCGAGCTCCGGTGTCAGTCCCGGACATAGCCAAATTCAACATCCCTATGGCAACAAGAACCCCCAAAGCAAGCCAGCACAGCATGCAGGGTTCTCTCAGACGGCTCAGCAGTCGTCCAACAAACAAACCTTCCCTGCACGTCAGTTTTCCCAGCAGTCCAGACCTCTTCCTCCTCCTGAAGCTCCTCCGCCCAGCGTGCCGCCTGCCCGAGCTGCACAGCAACCTACCAAGTCCTGGACGTTTACTAACAGCTTTGAGATTCAAAAATCAAACTTTATCGCAAAAAAGAGTTCGAATCAACCTCCAACAGCTAAACCAACCAAAAAAGAGGTAGGAAGTAGCATATTCTGCATGTTACACGCATAAATCTTGAAATAATCACTTACAGTGCGCTATTTTGATTGTTTTGCTGTTTTCAGAAGGAAAGTGTTCCAGCGAAGCAGCCTATGGAAAACTCCCTGAGGATCCTGACCACAGTTATTAACGGAATGAGACACTGGAGCCAGTTTAAAGATAAAATTCCTTACTTGTTTGAGATATTTGGTTAGGGAATATGAAGTTCCTTCTGCTTACAGCTCATTTGCGATATTTCTAAACACCTTTAAATAGACAAGTTGTGACTTTTCCCCACAGCCACTCTGGACTCTGCAGTCACTCTGGGGCTCTACGGAGCCAAGAGCTTTCTACTGAGAGACGGGAAGGACGTGCTGCAGTGTGTCTTCTATGAAAATGTGAGTTTGAAATCAAATGTAAACAAGCGCATCTCTGTTCGAATATATATTTAGTTAAGCTACGTTCAATATGACGGTTGTGCAATTTATTTGAACCAATGATGTAAAAAAAAAAAAACAAAAAAAAAAAAAAAACATTTGCTTGCAAATTTTGCTCTTTTTAAAAACTGTTCATGTGACTAGCACAAAACTCAGTCTAGTAGTTATGCAGATGTTTAGCAACTTATTCCTGGATTTCAGATTTTTATTTTTAAAAGTTTATCATTTTCCTTTTATTTTGCAGCTACTCTACTTTGTCACAGAATCTCACTGAAATATACTGAAGTTTGTGGCTATGAGGCGTCATTATAATAATTTTTATTAACATCTTCTCTCATCACATCAAACTCAAAAACCTTCAGACAAAATAAACAGCACAGTGAAATAGCCTTACTGTTTTTCCTTTTGTTTTTTCCTCCATTTGATGTCCGTCAGGAGCAGCCGCTGCCGCGCCTCATTCGAGGTCAGGTCCATCGCTGCGTCGGCAACTACGACCGCAGCAGAGACGTCCTGATATGTGTGTCCGTTCGAGCCGCTCAGCCGTCGGAGCAGAGGAACGCTCTGGAAGCCGTCAAAGTGTCGGACGCAGAAATGAGAGCGCTGGCCAAGATACTCAGCGAAGTTTGAGCACAAAATGGTGCAAAATATTGTTTGTCCAGCTTCTACTGCAGATATCTTACTAGACTTGAAATAAGATTAAACTGGCTTGCAAGCAACTTCTCAGCAAGATTTAGGAGCTTGTTTTGAGTCAGTTACTATTTAATATCAATTAAAAAAAAGAGTATTAGTTTCACTGGCAGATTTTTTTCACTCCTAAGATTTTTCTTCCAGTGGAACTAGAGCGATTTTATCAACATTAAGATGTTAGTATCTTAAAACAAGCTCCTTTATCTCGCTGAAAAGTTACTTGCAAGTCAGTTTAGTAGTTCTCAAACTAAAAAAATTTAAGAGTAAGTTTAATTAAGATTGTGTGTTTTAGCAGTGTGGCGGCTGTCGTCATCAGTCAACATGTGAGATTCATAAGAACATTTCCATATGCTCTAGTTTGTCGAAAAAGAAAGGTCGCTTTAACAAAAATATTGTTTTTGTAATTTTCCCTCAAGGTTGCAGCTTCCATACTTGTATTGTTTTAACATTTACATGCTCTCCTTTCCTGTTTCTACAGTTTTCTGTGAACAAATATAACGGAAAGTAAAGCGTCTGTTTTTTAGAAGTTATGAAATTCGTTTTATTACAAAGAAATGCCACAAAAACAACACACAAATGAATTCGGTTAAAACCTAAAACCAATCAGTTATCCGAAACTGAAAAACGGGGCAGTTAGGAATAAAGTGATATCAACAACAGTTAGTTTATTTACAGTCAAATTCCACAATGAAAAAAAAAATATCAACATATTTTCTCTACAAAACACTTTTTTTTTTCCACCAGTGCTGAGACTTTACACATAATTGTCCAACAAATAAGGGAATGAGTCCAACGTCGCTACCCCAGTCACACACAGTATGAGGTCCAGTACACTACTTACATTTCTAATTCCCATTAGCTTTGAAATATGGCAACAAAGTCATGTTAATCTTTCAATTTATGTCAGTATTGAAGCCCAAATTGGGAGTTATTTAAAGGTTTAGTCTGTTAGTAAAACTCTGAACAATAACTGAATATGAATCTTAAACACTCGCTGAAAATGGAGGTGGGGTTGGAAGAAATTGGCAGTGAACAGGAAAAGTTAATTGTGGATATTTTATACCAGAACTTCAAAAGCAGAAACTGGATCATATTTCACATATCATTTCGAATCGTGTGCCAGCTTAAAAATGTAAAATCACTGAATTTGTTAAAAAAAAAGAAAGAAAAGGATTCAGAGAATTAATGTTAGCTGAGCGCTGTAGCCGCTCCGCGAAGCAGCTTGAGTGATTCACCTCTTCAATAATTTGCAGAAGCATTTCAGGGGGATAATTTAAAACGAGCGCGCCGCTTTCTTGGCTGCTGTTATCCTCAAGGATTCAAATACATCTTTTCAGCATTTCTCCAAGCTATGAATCACACACACTGCATGAAGTACATAAAAACACCTTACCACCGAGAAGAAAAGTAGAAGAGAAAAAACACGTCACATGACACAACAGAATCCTCAGTTTTCAGCAGAGAGAGATCAATACCTGATAACTGTATGAAACTTGTCTTTGTTACGTCAAAAGGCACAAGTTGGTCAGATCACATTGAAAATCTAGATCAGCTGTTCTACCATTAACAAAGCCCATCTTTTCATGCAGTTTTAGACACAATCCCTACATCTCCTGGCATTTTGCAACATTTTCTTTCCTGAATTAAAGTTTAGGATCGGGTGTCGTAGGCAGAGAAAACAAGCACATCACACAAACAAATCTGGGGATGAGGGTGACAAAAACACGCAGCGTGTTCAACATCTTTTTATTATTCTTTTTTGTCTTTTTCCTTTATCTTATAACAACACCCCTCGTTGTGATTTCCCTCCTTTTAGGTCAGGAAACTGATCTTTAAATTGTCCATTCAGTGGTTTTGATGCTGCGTCTGCGATCCTTTTCTTTGCGTCAGGAACTGAACTCAGTCTTTGAAAGCTGAACAATGTTTTGACTCCCACTGGTCAATTCAAGTCCCAAGAGAAGAGGGCAAAAAGAAAGAAAAACCTTCCAAATATCAAAGTTCTTACTTTAAAGAGTTGTTTAGAACTTCAGAGTTCCCATGGATTTATTTACGACCAATTCATTCTAGAGGCGACTCATTTAAGGTTCAAATGTCTGTACAATTTCCTTGAAATCCTCGAACTGTCCTTATTGCCTCTTCGTCAAGCTTTCGTAGTTAAAAAAAAACTTGCACTGAAACATTAATGTGGCTGAAATCACAGAGCGTCATGCTTCCATTCGGAATGTTATATGCTTTCATTCAACAAAAACAAAACAGAAAGTTCGCTGTTTAAAAAGAATTTTAAATGACTTCAATTTGAGTTCATAACATTACAGAAGCAGGAAGACAGCATTTGTTTTTTGTTTTTTTCTTTATGCATGTGTGTGTTTTCAGCTTCAGCGAAAACAGAGCTGGGCAGAGCTTCTCCCAGGAGCTTTGCTAGGTGTCTCCTCAGGACATCATGTCCCGGGACATATAAAGTGGTCAAGAGGAAAAACAAGATGGAACTATAACAGAGTGGGCAGCGGGGTGGGGGACAGCTGCTCCTTCGGCGCATATTTGGCAAAAAAGGGCAAGAAGACGGTGAGCATGACTCCAACGATCGCCAGCATGTAGCCCCAGCCGATCTGGCACTCGCCGGCGTAGTAGATGTCAGCGTCTCCGCAGAAAGATCGGACCAGTGAGGAGTTAAGGCCAAAAGGGTACACCAGCAGACCAGTGGCCATGATGAACACTGCAGAGAGAGGAGAGGGGGAAAGGGAATGTTAGCATGACCTACAAAAGAGAGGAAGGGCTTCACACAAAATGTGTTTCAAGGATAAAAGATGTTGCTCTGTGTCAAATATTTTGGATCTACTTCTCTGTGCTTTGCAGAAGTCCATGTGTTATAAGTAGTTTACATTTCTAAATACATCTAGATTTTGTATATTTAGTCTTGAATTACATTTGGTGAAGCGTTACACTTGTACATTTCCTTAAACGTGTTACTTCTTTTAACAAACAAGCCACTTTCAACCAAAATTTGAAGCCCAACATTATTCATACTCTCAGTAGATTGACAAGAAATGTGAGATTGACCAGGAAGTTTGCTTCTAATAAGAAATGAAATGTAAAACAATGTAAAAGTAGTATCAAATTTTAAGAAAAGTATCTATTTTCTTCTCAGAAATCAGTTGAAAAAATCTTTATCGACTGATGAGGAGCTTTTTAGAAAGTTTCCACTTATAATATTGAACATTCATATTTTGTGATTGGAAGACCTTCATGCCATCACACTAATCTGTATCTCCCTGGACAGATTCTCTGTTAGATATAGTCTACGGTATGGATAATTTTGGTCTTAACTGTATGTTTAACAAATATAATTTATTAAGATACCAAGTTAACTTACTTGTGGTAACTCATGTAGGGTCTTAAATTTTAAGAAATATTTACCTACATTTTTGTTTTAACTTTCTTAATGTACGACTTTTATCCCCAAACGACTCTATGCAATATGACTACCTGTTATATCCACCAATGCCCACTTGGTGGCAGTAGATGGCTTGCTTAATTTGCCAGTAGCAGATTTTTGGTGCTTTAACAGCCAAAACAAAAATTTCAGTTACTTAGATAACAAAAAATAAATCTCAACCTACATTTTTTAAATGTTTAAAAGTTTTCCTAAGCTGTCATTTCATTATATTGTGTTTTTTGGGGGGTTTCTTTTTGTAAGTTAGTGAAGAAATGAACACAGCTGTTGTAGAAATGAAGCCTGTTTAACCAGTACTGTGATCTGCTTCCTCAGACATTATCATCTGCACCCGTAGAGCCTGAGAGCAGCTCATGTTTTACAAACCAAGCCAAGTCTCCTTCTCCAAGCTGCCAAACATTTATTGACTGTGCTACAGACTGTCATGGATGCTCTTAGTCATCCTGAGAACCGGCTGGGTTTCCATTACATTTCTAAGTACTTTCAGAACTGAAGAGCTAATGTTGCTGAAAAAACCGTGAACTTATGATAGCGAGGAACTTAAAAAGAAATACTACAAAGATTTCTTTCATCACTCCGTATTGATTTTGTCAGAGTTCTTTCGTTCAAAGGTAGCAGCTTTAAGCTCTGGGAGACTGTATTCATGCAATGGCTGTAACAGCTTAGATGTATGAAGATCGAATCAATGGTTGCTGAGGACAGTAAACAGCTAGAGGTGATGCTCAAGGTACACTCCAGAAGCTTTGCTGGAGAAAAATGCAGGGAAGCACAAAAGTGGTATAAATCGATTAAGAAAAGTTATCTGTTGGGTGAGCTCTCAGTCTGCTGCAATATCTCTCAAAACAGAGTTTTTTTTCTTTTTTGTTTTTTAAAGGGTAGCAGCTCGGTAGATATTGTTTTTCAAGCACCACTGTATTGGTCTACATTTTAAAACATTAGTACAACAATTTGGACTTTTTCATTTGTAGCGTCAAGTCATAAAAATGTTTTAAAAAATTAAATAAATAATAATAATAATAATCCATTGTCACTACCTGGTTGGTTGAATGATGAGGTGTAATTATGCAAACAAACAACCCTAGAAACTGGAATCTCAGGAAGGTTTGGGATTTTTCAAAATCCAATATGGCCGACTCGAACATAAAACACAGTTTTCTTGAATTTTTGTTTCTCAATAAACCTTATGCTTAACTATATTTAGTAAAAATGTTTCTACAGAATCTGAAAGTACAACATGCACAGAAATATATTGTTATATTGCTAGTAGCCACAACAAATTAGTTTGTATGCACCATGAACAATAATAACATTTCTTTTGAAAACAAAGGAAGTACAACAAGTAGCACAGTGTGAGGTCCATGGTTCCTTAGACTTTGTTTTAGAGTCTTTCCTTTTAGCTCGGTGTATCAACCAAAACCAGTACCTCACTGCTGTCTCCCTAGCTCTCCATGTTTTATCTGTATTGTGTAACAAAAAGAAAATCAGTAGTGTAAAAAAAAAATCAACAGAGGAATGAAATCACAACGGCCGACTCAAAGAAGCAGCAGCCAAGCAGAGTCATGGTCAGATCTTATCAGGCAGACCTGGACGGAGTTCAAGACGTCGTCTTGATCAGATTAAAAAAAATGTTTCTTAAGGTTGAAAGTATCTCTGCAAGCCTTTAACAAGAGAGTAGGGCTTAAAAAAAACCCAACTACTGGTAAAATCCACCACAAATCAAACGGATCAAGTTAATCAGCAAAGAAATCCCTGGAATGTTGGAAATGGCTTTGACAGATATTAAACGAAGCAAACTGGCTGACAGCCTGAATTTATCCGAAAGCGAATGGATAATGCAGAACAGTGTGACATTCACTTTGTGACAATCCTTCAATTAAGGCCAGGGAAACTGAAGCATCTGCGTAGCTGCCACCGCAGGGCGTACAAGCCTAATTTCTAAAGGATCTTACATGGCCCAGTGGCCTAATCTTAAGAGGAGCGGCCAGCGCGCTTGAAGAGGCTGACATGACACGAAGACGCCACGCAGGGGGTCTGAAGCCTGAACAGGCTCATAGCTCGTCCCACCAGGGCTTCCATTTAACATGGCAAAACGAATAACAAACCTCAGAGTCCGCTGACATACAGCAGACACCACAAAGGACTGACTGGGCTTGTGTTAGCCACAGGAAGAAGCCGACTAGCTTTAGTAGGGGAAAAGAGAATTCACGTCGTTATGAGGCTCAGAAAGACTCAATTTATCATCAAACAAAGACGAGAAAAGTTCCTCATTTAGACCCAAATATGGGACTGTGAAAGAAGCTAGCACTGCAGCAAACAACCAGAAAGGAAGCAGTGAGATGCTTAATCATTTGCTTCCTAATAGCCGACTGCACAAATCCCCAAATTAACAGCCTGCGTACACGAGAAAAGAAGAGAGCGATAAGGAAAAGCACTCATGACGATCAGGTCAACAATTTGTTTTAGTCATGGCTACATAGGGAGGTCATATTAATGTCTCGTAAGCCAGTGAATAATGTAGAAGTTTCAAAGTTAAATGGGGATCCACGCAGGTTTCACCCAACTCAAATGGTAAGACATGATTTTTTTAAGATGCATTTCCCCCATTGATAGCTGGAGGCAGTTCCAGTCAGAAGCACACATCAATTTGGGAGCTTTTTATGAATCCAAACCATTTTTTTAAATCATATTGGACTCTCAACATCAGATAAAAGAGAAATATTTACACTTTTAACGAACAACACGTGTAAAATTTAGCTTTTGGTCATAATGTTAGGAAGTATTTTCAGAAGAAAAGAATGGATTGGATGTTCCAGTTGGTCAATGATTCCCAAAGACACATCCAAACTGGTTTTGGGATGGATATAGCACTCAAACTTTAAACCCCATTTCAAAATGCTAATTCCATTAGCTCCACCCATTTAAGATTAAGAGTTGGCAAATAAAACTAGAGTAATGCAAGAAATTTAAAACGTGTGTGGCTCAAGTTCACCCTGCTACATTCAATAGCCGTAGATTTAATAGTTTCTTGGTTGTGGCCTTTTTTTTCACATGTTCCTCAAAGGCTGGAGAGGAATTTTTTGTTGCTTCTCCTCCTTGGGTAAATATGGTGTTATGGGCGTATCCCGGACAAAGACAGCACAAAAGGAAAACAAAATCAAATAAAACAGATCAAGAAACACAGAACTACTTTGCAAAGAGTCACTTTTACCAGCTTAATGAGCCGAATTAACCTTGAATCTTGTTCTCAGCGGTGTAGCAAGAAATGGAAAGCAGCTCGCCGACATGGTAAAATAGGCTCGCAGCAGTGAAAATGAGAGAAAGAGATTGAATGGGATTGTGGAGCAGGAAGGTGTGTGATAACCTGGCATCCAAGCGTGACAGCGAATCACTTTCATCCCAGACCTCTAACACAGAAATCACTGGCTCAGTTTATTACAAAAACTAAGACGATCACAGGAGCTCGCATGCTGCGTTTTCGCGAGTTCGGCCGTAGAAATCTGTGATCTGCTACTGTCGAAAACGTCTGAAATCCAATATAGCGTAATCTCATACCTTCAGTCGTCTTCGGTTTTATTCTGAATAGAAACCTATTGTGTGAGCATCAGAGATCCATTCAGCGACTCAGATTCTGCTTTGGATCAAACTCTGTGGCTCCTCCGCTGCCATCGTTACCGGCCCCTTTTGCTATAGGGACGGTTGAATTGT